TTTCCATTAAATAAATAAATAAAATAAGTAAAATTCGACTTTGCCAAGGCAAAGTCTCTGCGACAACTCTCATTGTTATCAGCAAGAAATATTTTGTACGCGCAAATATTCTAAAAAATCGTGTCAAATTTTACAGGCTCATCAAAGATACATGCAGGCAATGAATACAACATCTTACGTTGTGTTCTATCTTTCTCCTTATCTCCGACGAAGCGCGCGCGCGCACCACGACGACCCGTACGAGTCAATTATGTGCGCGCTCGGCCGAATTAACGAGACGAGAGAAAGAGAGTAAGACGCGCACTCGTATCGTTATTGATATCGTGACGCGACGAGAATAAACAGCTGGCCAAGCAGAGAAAAGTTGAACCAAACTGAGCCGAGAGTCGTGAGTTAGACAGGGCAAAAATGTCAAAACTAAATCGAGCAGAGTTTCGAGAGTTAAGCAGGGCAAAGGCAGAGGAGCTAAACAAGCGAGCGAAACAGAGCTGAGTCGAGCTGTGAACAGAGAGAGAGAGAGAGAGAGAGAGAGAGAGAGAGAGAGAGAGAGCGGAGGAGCAACGCTGTCGGGATAATTCCGAATCGGCGCGATTAAAAAGCTGGCGCGCGGTTTCGGCGAGAGATTGATATGGAGATTAAAGAGAGGTGAGTTCTCTGCCGACTACGAGAGCGAGAGCGAGGTGGAGAGAAACGTGGTCGACGGCAGAAGGGGTGGTGGGAGGGGAGGGGGAAGGGAAGGGGGAGTCTTCGAGGGCTTACGGAACGTACGAGAGAGAACAAGACATAGAGAGGGATACAGGAATGAAGGGATAGGGGGCGGGAGGGCGGAGGAGGGACGGGGTGAGGTGGGGGGAGAGGGTCAGTAGCTCCGCGTTCTCATGCATTCCGCTCTGTTATGGCGGCCAGGCCGCGCTCAGACGCTGCGCGCGTCCGTCCTGGTCGTGTGCACATGCACACACATCGCCGAGGTATCGCCGAGGCGCGGGGCCTGCCTCCTCTCGTTGCCCTCGTTGAAAAAGGAGAGAAAGAGAATCTGAGGAAGAGGATGCTCCTCCGCATGCATGCGTGCCTGCCTGCATACGTATGTGTACATATATGTGTGTGTGTGTGTGTGCGCGCGCTCGCGAGTACACGATGTTTATCGAGTATTCGGGACACGAGTCCTCTCTAAGAATACCGAGTTTCGCGATCATTCGCACAACGCGTCCGTCCCATCGCGCAGGTTTCTTGCGCCATCGTGCGCCATGATGAAATGACAGCAACAATGTTCCGCGGCATGAGCGCTGGAAGTGAGACGATACTTTTTGTCCTGCTATGCGCCGCGGGTGTTTTCAATGTCATTCACTAGAGTCTTAACGTCTACATTTCTAACCCCTTGCCCAAGTTGCCAAGTACGTACAACGACTACGTTAGCTGCTTTTGCGATCGTCAAACTAACGGTCTGACTTTTGCGCTGCCAAGTATTAGCGTGAGCTTAGTTTGTAACTAATCTTGATTAGTCACCTTGCGCGGCCACCTAGTCGTTTCCGTACATATCTTTCTCTGCGTCTACTACGCGCGTATAAATAGAGGGGTCGCGCGGCGCGCGTTTGATGTTCGCGCGCGCGCGCGCGGACGTAGAAACGAGCAAGTAGAAAATAGAACAGAAGAGTCAAGTGGGGATAATAGAAGAAAAAGATCGAATTTGCGGAGCAAGGAAATTCGCGAAGTAAGAGGAGAAGCAGTGCCGGCGATAGCGACGATAGGCGAGAGAGAGAGAGAGAGAGAGAGAGAGAGAGAGAGAGAGAGAGAGAGAGAGAGAGAGAGAGATGAGGCAGAGGAGAAGTAGGGAGAGAGCGCCGAGGAAGGATGGCAAGAGCAAAGAGATGAGAGATGAGGAGGAAAGGAGAGGCAACGAGGAGGAGCGCCCACAGTGCTAAATGCTCCACAGCGAAGACGCCCGCTCTCACGCTGCCCAGACCCCTTCGCCTCGGGCCCCGAAGACCCTTCTGTACAGCGACGTAAACAAGGCACGGACCGTAGGCCCCGAAATGATGTGTGTGTGTGTGTGTGTGTGTGTGTGTGCAGCTATAGAACGCGATCTTCTTTATTTCCCGCGTCGCTAATTCACTCTCTCGACGCGCGATATTTCGCGCGTTTTAACACGATGCTTGAGAGACTTGAGAATGTATGAAATTATTCGACCGAATTGACATTCGCACACACGCACGAAAAACTCGTGCATTCATCGAAACTCATCGAAACATTTGGATCTAAACTTCGAGTTAGAGCTCTCTCTAAACTACTCGGTCGAATAATATGATGTATCATATATATGTATATGATATTCGTAATCGGGACGAAAACCGAACAACTCTTCCCCCAGTCCGAGTGTGCGTCGTATATCACTTGAGGCAAGTTTTGAGCGACAATATTAAAATCCTAAGATATTAAAATCCAATATCTATTAGTAATAATAGCATCGGTGACAGAATACGCTCGCCTGCACATTAGTAATAATATTTGCTTCGTACCGGCCAGTGTGGGATTTTCACCGCTTGAACGCATATCGGAATTCTATCACTTTCTACCTTCCGAACTCTATTACTTTCTAATTTCGATCGATTCGCTCACAGGCTCAATGAGAGGCCGTCGAGCGCCGAGCGACATCTCTCCCGCGCGTTTCTGTTATTTACAAAGACGTTCGACGTCGGCGCGTCACAAGTGTTTGGACTTCATCGGGGAGAGAAGTATGAAACACGGAGGTCCAAAGGCTCTCGCAGGCGGTCGGCCCGAAGACGTCATACCGCACACACCAGCGGTACCTGTCCTTAACTCAGCCTCCTACGGCTCGCATTCACGACTCGCGGCGGCGAGCGCGATCGGCCCACCATCTAACCATAATACCAACATACGCGTAAGAATATCTAGAGAATATCTCGGTTGAGCGCGCTCACGCGCACGCTCAGTCGGGCCTTCGCGAGAGCGAGCAAGAGAGAGAGAGAGAGAGAGAGAGAGAACGAACGAGCCGTCGTCCGAGCGGTAACGAGGGGACCCGTGAAAGAGACGGGACTATAGAAAACAAAGGGCCGCGCGCGCGCGCGCTCTCTACGAGAGTCAAGCGCGCTCGGCAGTCGCTCCTACTCGCCGGCGAATGCCGCGCGCGACTCGTTACCAATTACGGAAATTAAGTAGAATTTAAAGCGCGCCGAGGAGTAAAGCGCAGTGGGACGACAGAGGGAGAGGAGGGAGGAGCATTTGCGCGACGTCGTCGACGACGAGCGCGCGCGCGCGCGTGCAGCGCGACGCGGAGCGATCGAAACGACGAGCCCGTGCGACGGATCCCACGATAAAGACGCGCAAGAGAGAGAGGAAACGCGTCGCGTCGCAGATAAGATAAATAGGGGGAAAGGAAATATCGTAGGAAGAAAAAGGTTGTTGCTGGAGCCCCTAACCTATAAACGGCGCGACTCTCAGCCTTCCGCCTAACAAGAGCCTCGGAATGAGACAAGTTATTTGTCACTTGCGCGACGAGGGGATCGATATATATATATATATATATATAATTTTCTGCGTGTAACTTCCGAGCACGACTGAATGTCCAATCGTCGAGTCTTATTTTTCTAACGCCGCGGAAATACAGCAGAAGAAAGGCAGGGGGGAAGAAGGGCGCAGTCAGTGCGTGGTTTTTGCGTGGTTTCGGATCAGGCGTCTTAATCTCATTGTAAAATTACGCCGCTCTCAATACTCTCGCAAAAACACGGGAGAGATGGAGAGAAGGGAGAGAGCGGGGTGGGGTGAGTGGAACTCATGCCGAAAAAATGCACGATAATGATATTCTGGAATGTGATGAGCACACCACAGGAGAGGATGCACTGACCGAGCCCGACGCGCGTGCGTTTAAGAACGCGGCTGAACGTAGCTTACACGAGAGCGCGGATTCTTTTGCTTGGGAATGTATTAAAATGGTATAATTTGCGCTATGATATTTTAATGCTCGCTAACGCTCGCGATCTTGTTTTACTGCATATAGATTTTAATCTGGCAATATTAATTTCATAACGATGTCCTTCGTGCGGTGCGAAAAACAGAGATCATTAACACGCGTCGGGATCACATTCGACTGATAGAAAGGAACGCCGTCGAAGCTACATCCCGTATATTCCAACTTCGTCGGAAGAAAGAGCAAAGTTTCTCGGGAGCGCCTTCCGTAATTTCGAGCGAGTTTTGTCGAGTCGTAACGCGCGTGGCTTCAATCGATCAGATTGACCCTCGTGATTTACTCGCGATTGAAAATCGAACAATCGCGGAAACAATCGCGGCTGAGAACCTCTGCGCGGCAGACGTACGAGCGCATCGGGAAATATGAATGTAACATCGTAAACTCATTCATAACACGGGTCATACGGGAAAAAATGTATACCGATCAATTAAACGGTGTGTAATACCGAGACGAATACGGACGGAAGTTTCTTTTATAATGAGAAACGTGAACGTAATATTAGAGATTCATTCATAACATGGCCGTGCACAGAAAAACCGCTTCCGTCATTGGAGCGAAACGTGCGAACAATAAGCACGAAACTCGTCAAGTGTTGCTTGATACGTGACGTAGGGAAAGAATTGTTTCAGGAAAATCACGCATTCCGAGAATAGCTCCATCAATCAATTTCTCTCGATTGCGAGAAACGTGCACGCGTTATAGCGTCATAACTTTACGACAAACCTGATAATGCAAAAATTATCATGAAAAACAAGTACTTTTTTTTTTTATGCATCTTTCCTCATCCACCAAAGTATATATATCGCGTAATATCTTGGTGCTTGAATAATTTTTCTAAATAAGCCAAATCCACCAAATTCGATATATTTGTTACCTCTTACACTTTTGTGACCGTACGTACGTGCAAGGATCTCTCATTCCCCCGTTCCTTTTTCCTCTTTCTCAGTATATTCTCAGAAAAGAATGTGGTCAGAGAGGTAATTAGAAGCGTGCGAAGGTAATGAGAAACGTTACGTACGTACTCGTATCGATGTTATCTTTCTAGTGCCGGTTTTTCCTTGCTCATGGTTCCGTTTCACTTTTCTTCGTGCAGTTGCTGCGAGCGGCCGGCCGAGCAAACAACGAGCGAGAGCGAGAGCGAGAACGAGAGAGAGAGCGAACGCGAACACGGTGCGCGCGCTCGTTTTTTTCCTCCTTTTTTTTTTCCCCCCCGAGAGAGGACCGTCGAATGCAAAACGCATTGTAGAGTAGGAGCCGGCGGGGAAAAAGGACGAGGAAGGGAGGAAGGGACGGCGGAGGGGAGGAACGCGGCGATCGTATTATGGGAACACACACGCCCGAGAACACGTGTGTCTCGCTTCCTGTGGCGGGCCGGAAGTCTCCGCGGCACTATGGCGCACCGTAGTATAGCGTGATTGCATTACGGGGGCCATTAGTACCTCAAATGGCAGAAGAAACAGTCCGCGGTTGTCGTTGATTGAATAAACTACGTCACGCGTCCGTCATACGATGCCTCTCTTTGTTCCGTTATTTTGGTTCCGCTTTTCGCCAGAATCTCTCTCTCTCTTTTTCTTTCTTTTCCTTCCTCTCTCTCGCTGTTTCTCACTTGCCCTTTCTGGAGGCCTCCGCGATCCATATCCATTCGATTGATACAGGTTTCAGCAACGACGGAAAGTGGATTTCCTCTCGTCGAGCCAGGAACAAAGTTGCTCCGTCGCCGAACACGCAACGTGTATCATGTAAAAACGTATGTGCTTTCAAGGAACCGTGGCGAACGGACGGATGGATGGATGGATGGACGGACGGACGGACGGACGGATAGACGGACGGACGGACGGACGGACGTACGACCGCGGCGTAGCGAATGGGCGAACGAGCGCCGTAGTTTCGTCACCCGCATGGCGCCCGCGTCACGATATCCGATCGTTAGCGCTCTCAGTTGATAAATACGTGGGAGACCGAGCCTGAGAAACGACTTCCGTGAGAGTTATCCGTTGCGTTTCACACTCGCGCTTCCATTTCACGTGCTGTTTCGCGGCCTCTCTTTTCTCCCGTAGCACGTCGAGGATGCCTCATCTCTTCCATCTCTTCCTCGTCCTGTTCGCGTGTCCTGACGCGTTCTCAACATCGAAAAGTGCCTGCGTTTCGCGATGATACATCGTCGAGAAAATACAAATTTCTCTAACTTCCTCCACTGTTCCCGCATCTAATCTTTTTATATCACGTGCCGCCCGTGACCCTTCGCGCGCGCGTTTGCGCAACTTATGTCTATTTTCCGCATCAGCCGCCGAAGAACTTTCGCTGATCGCGACGATGCAGATCTACAACGAGAGTGCGTCGATAATTGCTCCATCACGATCGCACAATGTATCGCGAGCCGAGAGTCTGTGAGGAGCACTGACACACACACACACACGCGCGTGTGCGCCGTTCCGTATGGTCGGTCGGCGCGGGGAAAAAGAAAAAAAAAACCCGCGCGCGTCTCGTGTCTCGACGACGCTGGCGTAAGCGGCAACAACAACACCACCGACCTGCACGACGGCTCGCGCCACACTAAGAGTGATCACTAGTGGCGTCACGCTCGCGCTAGCGCGCAGACGCCAGATGCGCGATCGCTACTGCGCACGACACGGCAAACCAGCGCGCGGCGCGCGCGTTCGTTCGTTCGTTCGCTCGCTCGCGCGCAGCAGCAGCGCGAACGCAGGCGCGATGCACGTACAGAGAGAGAGAGAGAGAGAGAGAGAGAGGGAGAGAGAGAGAGAGAGAGATAGAAGGAGGGTACGGCGCGCGGACGGACGGCGAAGAGTATGCGATGCGTTGCCGCGAGTGGTGGGAAGGAGGTGGAGGGCCGCAGGGGAAAGAGGCAAACCCGTTAGTTCTCAGAAGCGGACTGCCGCCAAACAGAGCTGCAACTGCGTACCCCGGCCTGGTGGCGGCTGTTTCTCTCTCTTTCTCTTTTTCTCGCGTCTTCTCTTTCTCGAGACCGCCGGTATCGGCGTGCTTTGGGTCTGCTGGCACCAATATCTCTTACCCCTTGTCTCCTTCTCTTTCCCTCTTCCTTCTCTCTTTCGTAGCAGACACGAGAGGAGGTTCGTAAGAAAATGATATCGAGCTCACGAAAAAATGGAAACAAATGTGACGAGACATTGAGCGCGATTTTGGTACTTTAACGAGCGTCTACGAAATGTGCGCTTTCATCAAGTTTGTGATAATAATAAATGCAAAATAAAAGCAGCGACTCGTAAGTGAGTATTATCCGGAAAGGGGGCAGCGACACGTTCGAAGAGACACGTATTGACACGTTAATGAACAAAAAATTTCTACTTTCCGGCGAAGAATTAATCTTTATGTCGTAGCGGATTTTGAAATTTTGCGAGGGAAGGCGACGAAAGACCGGAAAGAACTACCGCGCATGCGCACACACGGCATCACGTTGCCGGCGGCGCAGACACGCGGCATTCCACTCGTAAACAACATAAGTTCTCTCTCTCTCTCTCTCGCTCGCTCGCGCGCTCTTTTCTCCCGCGGCCGAGGAAGAGAGAGAATCTAACCTCGTCCCCCGTTCCAATCACCGTATCTTCCGTCACCGTATCGATCCTTCCCCTTTGCATCGTTCGCGATGTCCGACAATGCACGGGCGGTCTAAGAGAGCTGCAAGATTCATTAACGGTTCCTCGGCACGAACCTGCGCGCGAGCGCGGCATGTACTGCGCGCGACGACGCCGGTGCATTCCATCGCTCGTGCTCGTGTGAACGACCGTAAAGCATATACAGTATACGGCGAGGAGGGATCCGCGCGCGAGAAAGAAGGACCGCCGAGGTAGAAAGAATAAAACGCGACGGGAACGTGACAAAGATAGCTGTACCTTGTGCTCGATATGTGCACTCGCGGACGTCAGACGATAAGCTATCTAGTCTGTCGTCATCAACACAAGATATACGAAAGTCGAAGCCTGAGAGATTTGCCAAACGTGGAGCGGCGCATAGAGGGCGCGCGTCGCGGATGAATTTGTCCGACCGAGGTTAGGTTTCTTCTCCTGATTTAAAACTAGCAGAATGCACGATCGTATGAATTATAATGAGAGAGCGATTAATGTCACTAATCATCGCACGTGTGTGTGTGTGTGTGTTCGTTCACGCAACTGGGACGAGCACCTGCTTTTTTGTTTAGACGCTAGCGTACGTTTTTCATGATGGCACTTTGGGTACTCATGTGTGCTCATACGTGTGGATCGGGCTTAAGAAACCGAGGCAGACGCATCCCGAAGACGTTCACAACAGGAAATTCTCTCTCCTCTTGCATCTTGCCTCCTCTCTTCCGCACGATATTCTCCGCGTAGTATTCGCATGTCGCGACGACAACGGAAGAGAGAGTGTGTGTGTGTGTGTGTGTGTGTGTGTGTGCGAGTGCGTGCGCGAGAGAATGGAAGACACAGGAGAAAAGCGAGAAAAAGATGGTTTTCCTCCCCTTTCTTTTTTACGATTCTTGGATGCTCTGTTCTACGGTTGTTTCTTTCGTCTGAATGACGCCCTCCTTCGTCTCTATCTTTCCCTTCACAAACGTGCAGACGCGCGCGCGCGCGCACGCACACGCGCAAAATGCACAAATAGATACTCGGGGTTATTTGGTCGACAGGATTGGTGAATGGACCACGAGAGACGGTGACGGGAAGTAGAGTGAAAAAAAGAGTCAATGAGCCCCGAGTTACTTGAGCGTAATTATTGTGTACGCACGTATACGAGAAGGTCGCGCGGAGTCGCGAAGAAAGACGCGCATTGTGCGCAAAGATGCAGACTATTGTTGATAAAGATGCGTTTACAATTATGTAACACGAATGTAATTCTAGCAACGCGGGTCGCTGCGAATTAGACTTTTGATTCGATCCAATTTAGCTGTCTTTAAAAATTGAAGAAAAATTTAGACCACGGACTTTTGGACGGGGAAAATGTGTTCTACTCGATGATAAGCGAAATTATGTTCTACCATCTGCATCGAGAGATTCAAATTCCTCCTTCTTCTTATTGAAATTTAAATTCCGCAAAATTATACGAGTTTCAATAGTAGGTAAGTAAAAGCATCTTAACGACGGAGCGATAGTCCATTTCATGGCTACACCTTCCAACCGACCGACCGACACTACGAACGAGGGTGTTTCTTTGCGTGAGCGGTTACGCGAGTTTGCGAACACACGCGTGCGTGCCATGTAGAATATATGCTTCGTGAAGTGAAGTGAAGTGAAGTGTAGTGAAGTGAAGTGAAGTGAAGTGAAGTGAAGTGAAGTGAAGTGACTTCAGCGACGGAGGGGTCGGTTACAAGCGCGGCGTATAATCGGACGCGAGGAATGAAGCGGAAGCGGACGTGAAGCTGGTATATGAATATTTGATTAAGTATTTCGGTAAGGTAGCGGTTCTAATTATGGCGTCTTGAGGTTAGAGTAATCTCTATGCCCATTTAAGAAACTCGCTCGGTCGAACATGAGGGAGATGGTTAAATACTAATACATACAATACTAATACTGATACAACGCGCGACGGCGAAACATTTTCTAAACGGGAAAAATAGTGAAAATATAAATATTATTAACAACGCCTGTAAAAGTAACTTTGCAGCATAACGATTGTAAAATTACTGAAAAATATCAAATTTTCTCCTATAATTTTATTAAAATATATATATATATTTTTTACAGTCGCTTAGATTATTCAATTTGACCGGAAATTAAGGCTTTGCAATTGCGGAATTTCATATAAACACATGCTTCTCGACTAATATCACGGTACGAAAAATTACGAAAAGACTACAATCTCTTTGGAGGAATTTCAGGTAATCAGGTGTGTGAAATAAGATTAGGGAGGCTGGTAAACATTATAAAAATTCAAACGATAGCAAACACTTCGAATTTCTTCCTTCCACGTTCGACAAGCGAGTAAATAAATCTCTGTCCGTTTTAGTCGTTTCCTCTATTAATCCTCTGTCGTATCGATTTCGAGTTTACGAAAGTGCCGCACGTCGCGCATCCTCTCGTCGGGCCGTGAAACGCCGCACGATTCTTTTTAGGCCGCTCAAATCCGAGTCGTTAATTAGAGCCGTGCGCCGCGCGCTCCGGCGCGGTGCTATTTTTGTCCCGTGTAAAATACCGAAAACACCTATGCGTTCGTTGTGAAAGGAATGTAAGCGTTCGTGTTAAACACCGCGCGCGTCGTGTGTGTTCTAATAAAGCACGTGGATATCGAGACGAGGTGCGGCAGGCGACACACCCGCGTGGCTCATCGGGTCAGGCCTGATGAATGAACCGGAAAAAATGTCAATGAGCGTAATTATTGTTGCGCGAGGCGCATGCGCGGAGCGCGTTACGTACGCAGCACCGAAAAAACGCGACGTTACGTGGACGGAGCTTTAACTAACGCTACGACCACACGGAGGAGAGGCGACGCAAGCCGAGCAAAAGGTCTGACGTGTGCAGAATGTATGTCACACACAGATATTTAGCGACTGTACAAAAAAAAAAAAAAAAAAAATAAACTAAAAAATTAACCATATTAAATTATATCCACAAGTCACAGAGCTAGAAACGCGCGCGCGCGCGCGCGAGTATCTCGAGAAAATGCGGTGGACAAATAAATTGAACAAAATTTAGCAAACGAGAGCAAACCATTTTATAAGACTGCCATGATATTCAATCAGCTGCGCGTGAATTATAAGACGCGAAAATTTCGTGATGTAAGCTCGATGAATTGAAACAACGCGTTGCAGCTGGCGGTATGATGAAAGAGAAAAAAGGTGAAAGAAAAAAAAAGGAAACGAAAACAATCGGCGCAAGTGTCGTCGCGATTGTGAGGAGAGATGCGGCGACACGACGAATCCTGCGCGAAAGTTCCGAGGGGTTCGCGCGACCGACCGTGAATATCGCGTGGCGCGAAGTGCAGAGACGCGCGCGGCGCACTCGCGGCCAGGCGCAAGAAGACGCGGCGGCGGCGGCGGCGGCGGCTTCGTTTTAACGATTTCTGTGGGGTAACGATATTCCGAGTACATTCATCGCGCCCTCCATTTATCGCGCGCGCGCGCGCGCGCGAGCGCTTACTACGGGCGACTACGCGACAAATACGCCCGCCGTCGTCCGCATGAATGTACAGCGCGCGGCTCTCGTCGTACGCACGTACGCGTTCGTAGTACGCGGCACGCGCGCGCATACACTTTACGCATCGCATATATACAGGGTGAGTCTGAGAAAGAGGCCTGAGTAACCGCACTTCTCAAAGTTGAGGAGTGCAGCCTGTGGTGCTCGGTCTGAAAATGAGACGAGGCATCGCGCAAAGGTGTGGATACAGAAGCGCTTCCTTCTTCTCACCGAGTCGCAATCGCTTTTTTCTTTTTTGCTCGCGAGAAAGTCCAGCAGATTCCTGGCAAAGTCTCACGCATTTGCTACTTTTTATTAGAAATACACGATCGAATGGCATCGATGACCGGAGTG